GACGATGGCACAGGTCAGCAGGTCGCTGCACGTCGGGTCACTTGGCACAGCTACGTTAAACTACAGTGTCAATATTTGTCTCGGTCAGAGGATGGATTCGACCGCTGCAAAATCTGACAAATACTCGTACTGAGATTCAGATTCAAGTCTGCATCCTCCCAAGAGTTTCCATAAAATGTTAAATGAAAAGAAACATTTCACTGACTTGAAGGGCATTACTGAAAAAAAAACTGACACCCTGGCAAAAAATATTTGGCAAATGTTTTGAAATCAATGCTCACCATTTGAAGAGGATCCGTTGTTGAAGTCTAAGGCTTCCATGATCAGTGTGTACGACCGCTGCACACAGACACAGACACAGAGAGGGTTGTCAAACTGCAGTAGCTAACATGCTCATAAGTCACAGCAGCAGCAGCAGGTATACATTTTTTAAATGTTGCTTGACAAGAGTGCTAAACGTTAGCCTAAAACAGCCAAGAGGAAACCTGTAGGTTTTTGTGATGTGTTTACTGACCGGCCATGAGAAGCTGATTGGCAGCAGGACTTTGCCTCCGTCGTTGCTGACGTTCTGCAGAGAAAAACTGTTCCCACCCAACACAGGTGTGGAAGCGGAGCCGAAAGTGCAGAAACCAAACTGGTGCACCTCCTGCTGGTACTCCTTCAAACACACTCTGAAGAAGGTGTCGCACTGGTCCACGTCGCTGCACCGCTGGTCACTGGATTCTCTGGATCTGTCGCAGCAGGCGCCGCTCTGCAGCCGCCCGTTAACGTTCTGCATTGACACTATCTGAATCTCAAACTGTCCAGAAGATGACGACATCTACAGAGACAGACAGAAAGACAGAGAGAGGACACGGTTTACCCTTAACGTGATTAAATCCAAAAGGATCTCCTTGGCCCCTGGAGTCTAGGACCTTGTTGGCGCGTTCATGTTAACTTTCCATCTGCTCCTAAAACTGATTTATGTACAACAGGTTCATGCAGTTTCTCAGTTCCACCCATGAAGACCTCTGCTCTGGTCTGAATGACTTTAAAATGATAGTGACGGAACTGTGGGCGCCCCCTGCTGTTTAGAATCCCATAAACCTCATCTGAGTGAAAATGTCAAAACAATCATCTTTTTTATAGTCAACATTAGGTGTATGGTCACTGGTACTCTTACACCGAACACCTTCGGGTTGAAAAAGGGTGATTTATCTAAAACATCTGACAGATTTATGACAAAATATCAACAATATAACTTCCAACCAGCAGTATTTTTATAAAAAAAAATAAGCATAATTTATGAATTAGAGACGATGTACCTTGACGAATGTCGACAACACCAACAGCTCCAGGAGGAGGATGCAGCTCTGGGGCAGCTTCATGCCGGCGGGACACGGCCGTCTGCGGATGGCTCACTGACGCACACTGTCGTACCTTTACTCTTCCGCCGGGACGCGCGAAACACAAACTTCTACAAAAAAAATTAATAAATGAATAAAAGACAAAGTAGAAAAAAATCCCACTAAAGTCTTAACTTGACTCGTTCTTCCGTCTCCCTTAACGGCTGCCCGTAAACCACGCTGCCGTTTGACTGCAGCTGGAACCTGGACTCAAGTCTAACGGCTTCTCGGTCAGGGGAACAGGGCGGATGGATAATAAGAAGGTAGATGAGGGCGGGGTCTACACTGACAAATCACCGCTGTCTGTTTAATATTCATGAGCACAGGTTTGTTTACGCTCCGCTCACATGGAGGTGGAGAAGTGCCTTCACACGTAGAAGCTAAAGATACTGGACAAACATCGGTGGTGGATGAAAAATAATCGAGTCCAAATAGAAACTGTATTTCTGGCTCACCTTTGGCAGTACTCTGTCTGACAAACGTTTATTTACTGTACTTTAGTCCAGATTAGTTATTATGGGCCAGAAATGTATATATATTTTTCTCTACCTTTTAGCTATTTCCGGGGAGCTAATTGAGGAGGGCTTTCTTTTTAAATAAATCTCTCACGATTAAACAAATGCCAGTGATTAATTTAAAAAAACCCAATTTAACTAAGTTATGTATTTCAATAACCAATATTCAAATATTTTATTCTTATCTTAAGCATTTCTTTGCAGTGTATTAGCTAGCTCTTCCAAATGGAATTTAGCTTTTTGTTAGCATTTAGCTTTTGGGGTAAATTTTAATTATTTGAGGGTCACTTTTAACCAACAGATTTGTTTTACCTATATTGTCAAGTTTGATACATCATTGGATTTGCTGCATTTTTTGCCTATTATCTTCAGCTTTTGTTTAGCTGTGTTGTACACATTCTTTGGCTAAATTCTAGCTATTATGCTATGTTACTTAACTTGTAGTTATCCTTAAAAAAAGTAGTTACTTCTATCATATTAAGATTTAGTCTCAAAGGGGATGTATGGTCAGTGTGTTTCTCTAACGAAATGTGTTTTATATTGAGACAAAACATTTGAACAGAATTTGAAAATAAAGCAGACTTCAGTTGCTAATGAGTAGTGGTTTGTTGACACTGAGTTTACATGGAGGTGCAGAAGTGCCTTCACATACAGGAGCCAAAGAAGTTCAAAACAGTCAGATAAAAACATTTTACCCAGGAATGCTAAATATACAAACACGCTGAAGCTAACTCTGAGCCCCAGTAATGTGTGATTCCACTCAAACATTTACAGTGAGTGTCGCAGAAACAATAAGAATGATGTTGAAAAGATTTTTCATGGCTTTTCCTTACATTTTGTTATCATATGTCTCACTTTACTTATATAGACTAATTTTAACTTTTTCTGGCTATATTGTTTCTAATTTTGCAAATATTTCTTCACATAGCTTTTGCAGTAGCTCCTTATATACTTGTTGTGTACTGTATGAATATTATTTTACGTTCACAATAATAATAGTATTCTATAAAAAAAGCATTACTACAGCTTTTGTATTAGACTCAACGTGGCGCTAAAATACAGTACTAGAGTATTTTATCACATACCAGTGTATTCAGTCATGGTTATCAGTACAGTAAGAGCAGATAAATACTGGAAATAATCAGCTTCACAACATGTAACAGAAGGGTATGAGTGGAGGAATGAAAGGAGGTGTCTGCAAATGGGGAGGAGGAGGAGGAAGAGGAGGAGGAGGAGGAGCTGAAATAGATCCTGAATGACAGAACAAAGGTGGCCTCCTCTTTATTGTCAAATTAGAGCAGCTGGGCCCATTCTCCTACAGGAGAACCATGAATAGATTATTGGAGTTGCTGTCACTTAGATGGAAAAAGGAGAGGAAAGCCCCGCCTCCTCCGTCCACCCCACCCTCCTTACACCAGCCCCAGACCCCACCCCCACCTGGATGTAGACGTACGAGCTCCACGGCTCCATGCCTTTGCTCAAGACAAAAATCTGATATTGTCTGAATATATTTTTTTACATGAATCTATAAATAGAAATCGGCATCACCTGGAGTCACAATAACCTACCAACGGACTGTCTAACCCTGAGGTTTTATGTTGTTTTTGGACAAATTATGAAATAAATTGAATGATAAAATGCGACATAAACACAGGCTAGCCATACGTAGGTTAAATTAAGGTAGAATTTAAATGAAATTCAAAGTGGGCAAATTTATATATTAATATCATACATCGCTAATACTACAAATCCAGCCAGTGTATAGTTGTATGTAACGACGGGCCAACTCTAGTACACATTTGATATGATCTCGCGGGCCAGGGTCCAGATTTGGACCGCAGGCCTGAGTTTGACACCTGGGCTTTAAATAGACCGTACTGGGAGTATGAACGTGGCTGTGAATGGTTGTTTTCTCCACATGTGGTCGTATGATGGACTGTCCAAGACACATGGATTGACTCCATTTTGCCTTGATGTTTTATTACTGTACTGCGTTGACTGTAACACAGCTACACCATGTACTGTCACATGTCAAAGTCCATAAAGAAAAAAAACAGTTGATTTCCAGTCACAGCACACATTAGTCATAAATCAAGGTCGGCAGACGGTGTGTTCAAATATGTTGTTTTCTTTCTGTCAATAATTACAATTGACACAAAGTGAACACAGGGAGTAACAGAAGACCAGCGATTCTTAAATATACTTTATTCGTCAATAATTACAATTGACACAAAGTGACCACAGGGAGTAACAGATGACCAGCGATTCTTAAATATACTTTAATTTTCATTTTATTTTGCTATTTCCAAATAGAGATTTTATGAGACAGAGGTCCCTGATGTGTAGGACTTTAACTTGTGCTTTCACAGATTATTTGCATCAGAGAAAAATTGCATCTTAAAAAAGGTCAGGAATCCCTTGGAGAACATGACATCAGCAGTGTTGTCTCTGACCCAGGAGACCAACCAAAGGCCAGAGACTCAGTCTGGAACAAAGGGGTATTGAGATTTAAAATGACAAAAATATGACTCACATTAACCCTGCGATGATAACTGAAGAAAACCTAAAGTTGTTTCTGGCCAAGTTTATCTTAGCATCATTAAAACCTACCATCAAAACAGGTAAAAATGAGGAGGGAAAACTTGTATGATTTACTTGTATTTGAAGTATTTGAAAGATAGCTATAAAAATACAAACAATGCTCCCAAATATGGAAAAAAGGCAAAAATAAAGACCTGATATTTAAATAACTAACTCAACAGAGTAGCAAAGGAGCTGAATGCTAACTCTGTACAAATGTAACAAGAGTTAGTTTGTAGTGGAAAATTTGGGTTTTAGCTTAGCTTTGTCTTTTTTGTTTGTTTTTTTTACAACAAATTTGAGCTTTACTGTGGACCTGGCAGTGAATCAACATTTTCTAAACTCACAGGATTTCTCCGTGGATCCTGGTGTGGGAGAGCCCTGAGCTCTGAATTGATTCAGACCAGTGATAGTCAGAATCTCTTTAGCGCCACACAATGGACGTACGCACTGCTCCGTCCTGCCATTAATTGTAACTCTCAGTGAAAAGGCAAATCCTAATCTGGACAATAATAGTGTGACATGCAGCGACCACCGCCAGCTGCTGCAGCTTTTCCACCGTCGTCTTCTTCTTCTTCTTCTTCTTCTCTTCTATTTCTTAAGGACGCAGTGACAGAGGAGAGCGACTAAAGAGTGATTAGGAGGCTGTAAAGGGATTATGAGGGTTTAATTGAGTGTGGTAATTGAAGTGGACAGTCAATGGGTGTGAACTTCGCTGAGGAGGCAGATGTGCTGTGAAATGGTCTGCTCTCCATCACACACTCTATTATTCTGTTTAGGCTGCAGCCAGGGGGCGGAGCCAACAGTTTCATTATGAGACTGTTGTTATTCATGACGCCGGACCTCAGTGGGAACAATGTCGGACTGGCAGAGCAGGTCATGAATCAGAATGAAGAGTCCACATCGTGTCCTGAAAAGAGTTTCTCAGCTGCGTAGATGTTGGACTTCTAGCTCCTTTTTTTTCATATATTTCTTTTTCCCATCATTTCTTGTATTTTTGGTTAGTTTAGCTCCATATTTGGTCAAACGTATTTAATGGGTTATATTTCCTAATATGTCAGAGGCATTTCTCAACTTTAATCAACTTTGTCGTCAGCTCAGAGCACAGAGCATGACCCTAATCTATTGTGCTGTTTGACTACATGAATGAAAGGTTGGAAAAGCGCCACCTGTCAGAGTGTGTTGTTGTTAAGTTTTGTTTATTGTCTTCAACAGTACAAACAGACACTGAACGTTCATCCTGCACCGAGGTCAAAAGTCCCAGTTCATCTAAAACAGGTGCAGGTTGATTACTGCCAAAAAAAAACAAAAAAAAAAAAACCACACAGTTCATCTGGGGACAGTTGTTTGGCTGTTCTTCCCATCCATCTNNNTCTCTTTAGCTAAATTTGAGCTTTTGTGCTTCGTTAGGTTTGCCAAGACTCAGGTTTTGGGCCAACTTCTTCTTGAGTTTTTAAGGCTGCAAGCAACATTTTGAGATTTCACTGCCACTCACTGACCTTTTCTCCTTGGTGTCATCTTAAACACTTCTTAACCCTCATTTTTCTAATTTTCAGCATCAATCATTTATGTATTTAAGTTTTTTATTTTAACTTCTGATTGTTTTAAAACAAAATTTTTTTCTAATTTTCAGCATCAGTCATTTATAAGTTTTTTTTTAACTTCTGATTGTTTTAAAACAAAATTTCTTTTAGAAGATTTGGAAAACTTTTTTTAAATGTAATCATTTTTTAAATCACAGAGTTCTAATTTAATTCTTGCAAAGATAAATAAAATACACTTCAAGTCTTTAACACTAACTTCATCGTCTTGTGTTTGTTACATCTATTATGTTTGTTTAACTTTCTAGCTTTTCTGTGACAAACTTTTAAGCATGGAGCAGCAGCTTCAGTGTCAGTGTTTTTCTCTTTGGACCGTCGTGTGGCAGAATGATGAAGAATTTCAGTTTCATGTTGAAAACCTCTGTCCTCCTCACATACAGGACCTTACATGTGAATGGTACTGAAAAACATCCAAAGCAATAATAATACAAAATGACATGCTGTGGCTCAAACACAAAGCCACCATTTGACTCAGAGTTCCTCCTGCTGGCGGAAATCAGTCATTACAAAACTCTCACTGGTTTTCAGCATTTTTTTTCCTGTTTCAGTTGAATTCAGTCAAGTTCTGTCATGAATCCTTGTGGCTCTGCGGCAGTTTCCTGCGATCTTTCCCAGCGTTCCTCTTCCTCTTCTTACTCAGGAAATTGTCCAGTTTACCGCTCTTTTTCAGCTCCTGATATTTATCTGCTAACAGCAGTTTCTTCTTCTCAGCTACAAGGGAAAAAAACATAACATTTAGGAAGACATTTTAGATGATTATGTGATTATTTTAGTGGGCTGCTGGTTCAATACTGCCTCGTGTGGTCAGTTTGTGCAGTTGGGATAAAAGGGCTGTGGTTAAAGTTGAAAAACATTGGTTTACTGTAAAAAACTCTCAAAATGCTGACTCAGGATCTACAGCCCTGAAGTAAATGTGGATTAGAAACATGGAGGTTGTGTATCAATTTTCAACTTCAACAGAAACTCACATTTCTTAAGGAAGAATGGTCGAGTTCCCTGATTGGCCAGCTCTCTCTGCTGCCTCTTCAGCTGCAGCTCCTTCTCTCTCTGCTGCTCTGCCGCAATCCTTGCCCTCTCCTGGTTTTCCTGTAAAGATAGAGACAACAGTGATACATATTTAACATAACATACAGAGAATGGAAGATACACACTGTTTAAATCACACCAACGCACTCCAGCCTGTCGTCTGCACGAGCTTCAAATGATAGAGACGTTTTAAAATGCTGCTAGCTAGTGATTCAGATCAGGTAATAAAGATAATCAACTACACACTGTTGAAATATACTGACAAATCCTTATCATGCTGCTAGCTAGTGATTCAGATCAGGCAATAAAGATAATCAACTACACACTGTCGAAATATACTGACAAATCCTTATGTGTTCAAAATTCTGCTGAACTGCATTCAGTAAATTCTGGTCAGTAACTTGATCCAAGAACATGGAGGTCTGATCCATTACAGCCCAGTTACTGTTTAGAGTTTTTCAGGTCTGAACTCTCACCATCCTCTTGAGGAGGAACTGCAGCTTCTCCTTCTTCTCTCCGTTCGTCTTCGTCTTCTTCAGCTGCTTCTGGACTTCCTGTGAACAGACAGGAATCCAGATAAATTAAACCAGAATTAAAAAAAAACAATTTCTGTCTGTTGTCTAACTGAAAGATGACCTTTTTCTCCCTCTGCTTGATGTCGTTGATGAAGTTGTATGTCTTGTTAAATATCTCCGACTTGTACTCTCCAGAGAGGTCGTCAAACCGTGGGTCTCGGTGCATCTGTGGGGACACGGTCATTGTTATGGTCAGACGTGTGATTCAGTTCTGAGACGCAGACTGTGACTTTCTTCACTCACCGTCTTCCTCACAGTGACGACCTGACGCAGGTACGGCACCGGTTTCTTGGCGGACACTTCTATCGGCCTGATTTGACGGTACACAAACAGACATATTGTTTAAATATTACAGTTAACATAATAATAACCAGAAGGAAACAAAGAAAAATCTCCTCACCTGTTCTTGTTCAAGCGTTTCTTCCTGCCTGTCGTCTCTTGTTTTGTTTCTTTACCATAGGCCACCTCATTGTAAACTTTGGTCCCCACTTTGTTCTGCAGCTCCATGATTTCCTCAAAGGACATGTTGGACAGTTCTGGGCAGGACAATGAATTAAAAATACAAAAAAAAAAGCAGTGTGATTATATTTATAAAGTACTGCCACCTGGTCAAAAAGGAGCTGATTTTTTTTCCAAAAAATGCTAAAAGATGGCTAGGTCCTTTTGGTTGAGGCTTTTTTTAAAAAAAGGTGGCTAGGTCCTTTTGGTTGAGGGTTTTTTTAAAATTAAAACAAAAATTGAAAGTTAATTAATTAAAGATCAAGGTTTTCACCTTTTTTCACATCATCTCTGGTCTGGAGCTCACTACTGCCCCCTGTAGCCTGTGGATCCTCATCATTGTTGTCATCTTCATCATCTTCATCGTCATCGTCAGAATCTTCAGTATCGCTGTCCTCTGGTTCTACTCCTTTTCCCTCCTCTTCCTCTTCATCATTATCTTCCTCTTCATCATCCTTTTCTTCATCCTCCTCCTCATCATCTCTGATTTCTTCAGCATCCCCTTCAGCTCCTCCTCTCTGGGCAATAAGAGTGAAGTTCCTCTCAGCGTCAGAATCTTCATCATCAGAGCTGTTCTCCATCCTTTTCACCTTTTCCTTCCTCTTCATCTCCAATTATGTTTTTGGTTTTTAGACAAACTGTAAGAGATGTATACATTTAATACCAAATTATAATGTGTTTTTAGAAGATGATAATATTTAAAATTATTAAATTGTTTTACAAAAACTTTTAGCTCTGTCTTTATTTTTATTAAGTAGTAGTAGTTGCAAACAGCTACAGTTCAGCCTCCCTCCATTGGCGGCAGCACGTAATAGTTGAGCGACAGTAAACAACGCCATCTTTGATTTGTGCTGCCTCAGTTCCGAGTCTGATTAACCTTAACCTGATACTTTATTTTTTCCATTATATATCGTTGTAACAAATTACTATAAAGCCGGGATTCTTAATTACAGACATTTAAAGAGCTTTTAGTGCTGCAAATGAAGTTATTACTTCTGCAGCATCGGATTTCGCCAAGTTTCGCTGATCAGCGCCCAGCACTGATGTTCGTTCATATTATTTCCAAATCGTTATTTTACAACTATTTAGAACAACACAAAACAAACACGCATCGTTGAATTTTGCATTTGGCCGAAGTTGTCAAAAGTTACACTATGAGTGAAACCGAGTCACCGAAGTCACAAAATGTTACGCAGGTTTTACACCTAAACATTGATCAACAAACAGACAATAAGTGTCTGTTGTTTGCTCAATCAAATGTTTTCTACTCTGTTTTAGTGACACAGTTATGACAAGACATTCCGATTTAAACTGTTCACAAACATGTTCATTAATTACACGTATCTACCTGCTTATGGTTGTTGTTTAAGTCCAGCTCCAGTATCCACGTGCGTCCTTAAAAGTATGCGTCAACATGAACCATAACATCACTTCCGGGTTCAAATTAAAAGCGTACCTATATTTTCTGTAAAAGTAGGAAAAACGATTTACCAACATCATATTACTTTTTACCAACATACTATTATAGGTATAGTATTTTCAACATTTTGACTGAGTTTAGTGGGACTTTATTTAAAGTGTTATGTCTTATTTTGTCGAAAACCACAAAAAAACAAAACAAACTAACAAATGGGGGTTAAAATATTTCTCTGGTTGCTATCACACTAATTAGTTATTAATTAGTTAGACGGGGGTTAACGGTGCAGTGTTGGACGAATATTTAAAGCATATACGCCAACCTGAGAACGCTGAGTTAATCCTGTTGCTAGGAGACCACAAGGAACAGATGGTGTGAAGTTAGACATTTTTAGCTGAGCTAAAGACAATTTACCCTTCATCTTAATAATTTCAAATGTATTTAGGAATAAACATTAAACTTTTACTTGAATTATGAAAGAGGTTTACAAACATATGTGATCTGATTAAATGAGACAGCAGTAGATTAACAACTGCTTTGTGGTTTTCTCGATTGAATTCAAGTTTTCAAGGACGTCACATAGGAAGCCGCATTTTTGTTTTAGTCCGGTTCTGGCAGCAGAGGGCGCACACACCACAGTCAGTGCCTATTCTTCATTATATGAGAACAATTTTGCACACCACAGTCAGTGCCTATTCTTCATCAGTACATTATATGAGAACAATTTTTTTAAAAAAGCGCAGTATCCGTTGTAAGGAAAAATCCACTGTAGAACGAGTCCTCGGGTGCTTTTATTGTGATATGGGGACAACTCAAACGGAAGGAGCTCTTTCTTCAATTTCCACCGATTTCCGGTTTTGCTTTGGTTGAATGAAGAAGCAGCAGCGGGAGCGTCACTGATGCTGCAGGTGCTTCGGCTCCGACGGCCGCTCGTTCCTTCCCCGCTGCACTTACACAAAATCAACGGCACTTCGATGAGATGATGATGATACACAGGTGGGACATGTTGTGAGCCTCGCCCACCGCAACAGGTCCAATAAGAAAATAGGAGGGGGTTCGATGCTGAGCTGTGTGGATGCGACAGAGAGCGACGAGCTGCCAACATGATGCCCGTGAGTTCGCACGAGCACACGAACACCAACAGCGTCCTCTGATGAACCTGCACCGTCTCAACATAAACTCAAATTCTTACGCTAATTGTAGAGTTTACTACGAACTGTTTGGGTTACACGAACAGTCCAGTTTTTTTATTTTATGAAGTGTATACACACTGTCATTCCTGACTCCCTCGTTAATACACACTGTCATTCCTGACTCCCTCGTGAGCGTCCTTTGCTGTTACAACTAGCTTGAAATACAGATACAGTACAGAGCGGCTAACTCTCAGTGAAGACGTAAGTAATGTTAGAGGCAACAAAATTATTCAAAAAACGACTTTGGCTTTTTTTTTAAACCTTTACCACGTAAATTACACGTATTTAAACTGCTTCTCCTGCTATTAGAGAGATTTTCTTTCCATGAGGAAAAGTGAAGTTTGGGAAGTACTCAGTCTTTCTGCTCCAATCCAAAAAATCCAAACTTTTTGCTGATAAAGACACACAGGCTGAGGTGTTACTGCTGCCTCAAGTGGTCACTTAGTTTCACAGAAGTAAACCTGGATGATTGGTTTTACTGAAGTGACAATAATAGAAATCATTTGACCTCAAACTGCTCCTCTGTACCGCAGTGTTCACCACAGAGGACTGAAGCTGACGCAGCAGATGTGTCATTTTGTCTGACAGTCAGAGACAGCATCAGTCACTCAGTATGGGTGTACTGTAGCAGCAGCAGCAGGGCAGCAGCAGCAGCAGCAGCAGCCACTCACGGTGCGGTCTGTCTTGACCTCAAAAGCCACATTAAAAAAAACCAGAGCTGTTCATCATTCAGTCTGAAACAGGAACGAACTGAGAGAGAAAAGGAAGAGGAGACGAGGAAGGAACTAGAATGAGGGAGAAGTGAACTCCTGTGTTCGTACAGGATGTGTGTGTGTGTGTGTGTGTGTTCTCATCATCTTTCAAGCTCAGCCCTGCTGCCTGGTGACAGTGCCCACAGTGACCAAGCATATGCACACACACACACACACACACACACCTGAAGGTCATGTGGGAGCTCTGTTTATTGTTCTCTCTGAACGAGAGATTTTCCTTCATTTCCTCATTGATGTGACGTCACAGCACAGAAGCTGTGACGTTATGACACATTTTAACAATTTTTAACAATTTATGTTTAATGAAATAAAGGCTAATTTTGATTTTTTTTTTGTTGCTTATTTTAAATTTACACAGTAAACAGTAAGAGATTGTCATTGTCTTCATCTGCCTTTATGATTATTACCATGGCTGTGTTATAAAAATAGATGCAAAAAATCCCATTAGCTTAGTATTAAAAACATAAACAGTAAAAGCAAAGCATTAATTCATAGTGAGTTATCTGTACAGTTCACAAAATTCCAAATTGTCAAAAAACAAAAAACAAAGGCAGAACAACTAGAGTTTCACTTCACTGATGAAATGCTGCTCCATCTAAACAACATTGACTTTTTTTTTACCAGCTGTGTTGTGACATAAGGGCAGAAATAATTACGTGATTGTATCGTGACGTGATTTATTGCGCGGGTGGGGTGGGCGGGGTGGTGGGGGGGGGGGGGGGGGGGCGCGGGGGGGGATTAGAGCATCATGAAGCTGTGCTGCTAATTCCTGACTAGATTAAGAGCTGCAGCCTCAACAAGACCAGAACCAAAGTCAGACAACAGTGTGGATTCTGTTATGGTAGAAGTAATTTGTTTTTTACAGATCTCTACATCAGCGTGTGACAAAGGTACACTCACATACAGACAAACGCTGCAGTCCATAGACTATAATGTCGCTGATTTAAAAAAAAAACATGAGAAAATGTATTCACAAAAAAGCTTTAACTTTGCCTGATTAATGTACTCATTTGTTCATATTTTAAATTGGGTTTTACACCAACCTCCCATAGAGAAAACCTGTGAGTTAAATTCACTGTTCTTTCTCTCAGGACTACGGTCCAAGACAGTGATGTGTTTACAGGCATCAGATTTCTGTAGGAAAAGTCTAAGAATTGCATACGGCCCTGAACGTGTTCTTCATTTGTCACTGACTTAATCCTGCGTAGATTTTATTATCCCAGTGACTGGCAGCAGTGACCCACTTCCTGTATGTCCATCTGGAGCGGAGACTGCAGCGTTCCATTTTTCTTAACAGCTGAATGTAGGACACGACGTCTTGGTTGCTATTTTCTCTAAATGTCTTAATTACTTTGAGCTATAACAAAAACCTCCCACAATGCATCTGTGCCAGGGAGCTCAAATTGTTAAATTGTTACTTAAATAATAAGTAAAGAAAACATATCAAGTATAATTTTTTATTATTATCTTGTTTATTCCCATTTCAAAAAAAGGAACTATTTCCCTTTTGCTGAGGTGATATGGTGGAGGTATACAGTTTAAGTAAAGTCGTGATAAGGCTGTGCTTTAATAATTCTGTCATTTTCTACGTTCTAGGTTCTGCTAGATGGCGCTGTTGCTTATTCAGAACCTAAATCCGTAACTGTCTTTGTAGATTTTTTTTCAATCACCTCTAACACCAATTCAATGTTTTTATTTATTAATAGACGTGGAAATGACTTTACCAACAATATTGGAGAGACATCCAGACCAGTGTAATTCAGGCTGGATGTCCGTCAGTGGGTGGTTCTGTGAGTCTTGGTTCTGTTTGTAGGAACCCTGCTGCACGAACAGATGGCAAAGTATTGTGGGAGTGATGTTCACGAACAAACAAGTCTATTTTAGTCTAAAAAATAGAAAGAAATACCCACTTAAATACTGACGGAAATAACTAAACTAGCATGATATGTCAAAATATCGGATAAAATAGTCGGATAAAATTGTCAAATGTCGGACAATAACTTGTAAAAAAAAGTGTTAGTCAAATTGTAGCTACATTGTTTTTTCACCAAAAATAGAACAAAATGTCACAAAAATCTTAATTCACCTAAAACCACAAACGAATTACATTTATTTCAGTTATTACGGTAAATGATTCGGTGCTAATTAGCTAAAGGCTACCTGGGAGTGAGCAGAAATGATTGTGTTTGCAGACGTTTCTCACCGTGTATCTGAGCAGCCAGGACCAGCACTTCAACGAAGTTCCCATCACTCCGGAGACCCTGTGCAGAGACGTGGTGGAGCTCTGCAAAGAGCCAGGAGAGGGCGACTGTTACCTGTCTGAGGCGTGGAGAGGCTCAGGTCACTGGCGTTCTGATTCGTTGTCTATTTAATAATCTACAAGTACAATTTTTTTTTTTTAAAGCGTCAACGTTAAAGATCGCAATTCAGCCTTTTGGGCAACATTTGATCTGTAATTGTTATTTTGGCTATTTTAATGGCTTTCTATTAACTTATGGTTGAAATGTTTTGCTAATTTTTAACTATTTTGCTAGCGTTTGGTTGTTTTTTGCTAAAAACCTTTAAACGTTGTTGTTGTACATTTACAGTATTCCTTTAGCAATATTTTTTATTTTTGTTTTTGTAAATTTTGCTATTTTCGCCTGTGATGTTAAGTACTTTTAGTGTAAGTTTAACTTATTATTTAGCTTATTTATTGCCACGTTAGCTAAATGTGTGTTACCTCCAGTGTTCTTTGTCTGTATTTTCTTTAAATTCAGGCTTAATACTGTAAGTTAATACATTTTTTTTTCTATGTTGTGTTTGTTTGACCAATCAGAGCGTGTAGTTGGTGAAGGGGAACGGATGATGGAGGTGTTACTGCAGTGGGGGCAACAGAGGGGCGAAGTGCGTTACCTCCTGCACCACCGGAGGGCCCCAGCACAGGAGGCTGGTAGGTAGCAACACTCAACAACAAGCAGATTAGATCTATAGCAAAAGGTAAAAAATCATGATAACTTGATAACTGGATAGGTTTGTGCAGAGTAATTGCAACAAGCAGATTAGATCTATAGCAAAAAGTAAAAGTCATGATAACTTGATAACCAGAGAGGTTTGTGCAGAGTAATCATGTCATGATGTCACAGGTATAAACAGTTTTTGTGCCCAGGTGGAGCCAGAGATCTGATGATGAAGAGGAACCAGGAGGAAGACATGGTGAGTAAAATGTAGGCCTAGAATATAGCTGGATATTAGCTTTAAAAAACCTAAGTCAGACTGAAGATGCACCGATTTATGTCAGACAAGAGGTGGCAAAAAAATCATTTACTTCACAAAAACTCTGGATTCTTAAGTGAGCACATGATGAAAATAAAGGTTTAATGGCAGCACTATAGGTCAGCTTCATGTTTACAGTGTGTTTGTGTGTTTATGTGTATAGCTGACACTGACTGAGCTGCAGGATCTGGTGGAGAGACAGCATCAACAGATCGACTCCAAGGAGCAGCTTTTGGCCTCTAGGGTACGACCCACGACTCTCAGTTTTCCTGGAAAACGTTAATATATTTACATAGCATAGGAGCGGCAGCTACAAATATTTACAAATCCAGCAAACATTCTGAAACAAAAATCATGATGAAAAACAAGCAGACAATGACAGTTTAAATCCATAAGATTCATTATATTTATGGTAGGATGTCGGCTACATTCTTTAGCATATAGCCAGCTAACATATCCTGATGTTCAACCATGTTGCAGGAGCAGCAGCTGTGGAGCCTGAAGCTGCAGGATCTCCATCACCAGCAGGGGGTGTCAGATGAGGACCGTCTGCAGCAGCTTCGAGAGAATGCGCTAAACCAGGAGTCTAAACTACGTCGGGTCCGAGCCCTGAGGGGTCAGGTGGAGCAGAAACGCCTCAGCAACAGTAAACTGGGTCAGTGAATTTGGTCTGGGTGTGGTGAAGGGGCGTTTACAGGTGTATGTGGTTAGCTTAAGTGGCCGAGAGGCTAGCACACGGGTCAGCAATATCTTTAGGTGAAAGACCACAAACAGATGGAAGAAGTAAAACAACACAAAAACCCAAGACTTGAGGTCAATGACCAACTTCACTCAATGGTACGACAGACTACAGACCAAGCCAGGTATTGCGGTTTAGGTGTGGACTGTCATCCACTGTTTCAGCCTCACTGTGATGTGTGTGTGTGTGTGTGTGTGTGTGTGTTCCAGTGGAGGAGATGGAACAGTTGAACACTCTGTTCCTGCAGAAGCAGCAGGAGCTTCTCCTGGCCGTGGCCAGGGTGGACGAGCTGAACCACCAGCTGGAGGTGTTGAGGAGCAACAGGATTGATCTTTTTCCTCCTCCACCTTCTCATCACTACCACCACCAGATGTCCTCCTCTTCCTCCTCCAGAGCAGAGCTGGAGCGTCTCTGTAAAGAACTGCAGGTCCATTTCACTCGACTACCACTGATCCACTAGAGCAGTGTTTCCCAAACCTTTTTTGAGCCATGGCACATATATATCATCAGGAAAAACACCACCAAAAAATCTCACAAAAAATATATGGAATGAAATATAATAATGTTCTTGTTTGAATGATTTCATACTTGACTAAAATCTTGGCCTGTTTAGTTGAAGACAATGCTGATATACTGGCAGGAATTGAAGAAAGACACTCACAAAGATCTTTATTATCAGCTCTGATTATTTTTATCTTAGTTTTAATAGCCATCTGCTGCCACCTAGCAGAAGAGGATGTAATTGCTCTGCCTGTCACGTATTGACGTACAAAGAAAAAAATATTTGCAATAAATAAATGATAGTTTTGGGACCATTTAAGCGACATTGGATAAATTTCCACGGCAGACCTAATGATCTCTCACGACACACTGGTGTGGATTGACATTGGATAATTTTCCACGACACACTGCTGTGGAATTTGGCAAATTGTCATTTGTTTCACTGTATTTTATTTTTTTCGGTTGTTGTTTTCGTGCAGCTTCGGAACAGGGTGAAGCAGGAACAGCACGTGAGGCTGCAGCAGCAAAAAGATGCGCTGAACAAAAAGAACCAGGAGGTGGCAGTGATGGAGCGGAGACTGGCAGAGCTGCGACAGAGACTGTGGAAGAAGAAGAACGCCCTGCAGCAGAAGGACAACCTGCCTGTGAGACAGAGAGGAGGCTTTTTTATTACACGGCATCGAAGAATATTTCTAACTTATCCTGAATTCTAATCAACTGCAGAAACATTAACACGTTATTGATTAGTCACATCTAGACTGTCCTCCATTTACAACCGGCCCTTCAAGTTGAACTGATGGAATTCCTCATATCGTTGACTTTCATACAGTTGTCCTCCAACGGCTCCAACCATGTGCACAGCCTGAGCTCCAGAGTGGCAGCGGTGGGACCGTACATCCAGTCCTCTCAGGGACCCGAACACCAAGAGGTTCTGGTGAAAACTGCAAACGCAGACGGTGAAGCCACACTTCCCACAAATGACTCCCTTCTAAAGCCGCCGCCACGACCACCCAAACCAGCTACAGGTGTTCACGTGCAGTTCACGCCGACAGAAAGATGAGATGTTTGATCTCTGTCTGACAGCAGATAACAAATCAAACGGTTGTTTGTTTGTTTTTTTTTTACTCCTCAGGTTTCAGCTCCTTAACGTCAGCCACACTTTCAGAGTGGAACAACTGTCTCCATGAATACAGCAGCCACGCCTCCACACTGCCACACATGTCCAACCACAGCGAAGGTTAGTCACGACCACGGTCTGACATCAACACCCGAGCATTGATCACGACCAGGGTTAAAAACGTAGTTGGTAACTTGAAATTACCTTCTTGTTTTTTTTTTTGTCTATTTTTTTTGCTGTCTGTGATGATATGATGCAGATCTCTTCTGATGAGAAAAATAATAAAATAGTATTTATTGTCATTGTACAGCAGGAGTACAACGAAAACAAAAAGTAGCTGGATCTCTGAGAGAAATTCTCTTTAACAGGTAATGAAAGCAACAAGAGCGTCACAGATGGTCCTGGGTCTGATGTCCCGCCCCCTGTCCCTCCACGATCCAATCAGAAGACAGAAAAGGTGCTCAAAGACAGTCAGGTGACTTTTTTCATGACTTTGTGGCACTGATTAAAAAGATTCTAAAGTCTAGATATGGGTTAATATTCATTTAAAGAAATTAGAAAAAAATCAGGCCAGAAATCCATGGAAGTTTTGTGAAAACAAAATCAAAGTAAACAAGAACTAAAATAAAACCATGGGACAAATGGACAGCGTTAGCTTAAAGTTAACGAACTAGAAAAAAAAAGCTTAAAGATAAACACAGTTGTATCAGACAGAGCTAACCGTTAGCAGGTAGTGTCGTGGTGATGTCAGTGTCTGTTCAGACCTGATTCTCATTTGAAGAAACATAAACATTTGTCTTTTCTCTGCAGGTCTGGGACAAAGGTGTCTCCACGGCAGAGGTCCCTCCACCACTCCCCAGTAAAACCAAGTCCTGCTCCGTGTCTGGACCACAGACCTGTTCCAGAACAGCCTACACCACTGGGACCTTTCCCGGTAAGGCCCAGACCCTGTGTGGCCACAGGACCCCAGGCCACAGCAACACGCTCCCTCTGGCCCACAAACAGGACCCTCCTCCGGCCGCCGCCGTCAGACCCTACACCCCCGACCCCTCAGATGGACCCCTGCTTCTCCATAAGCCTCAGACTGTGGCCACGTCCTCCATTTACTCCATGTACACTCAGCAGCACACACTGGGCAGGGGCCAGCAGCCAGGAGGTCAGGGTTCACTGCCCCGTGGTCAGACCAGAGGTAACGCCCCCTGTCAACCACAACGCCACAAAACACACACACACACACGATCCCCTGAAGATAAAGGTTAAACCTGGAAAAGCTAAAGCTAGCTGAAGATTTGTTATAATGTCGTAACTGACGCCCATGTTAATAACCATCATATAACAGACAAACGCTGTCACTTATGTGTGTGTGTGTTATTAAGTGTAATTTGATGTAGTTTGGTTTTGTTTATTTGTTTATTATTTGTTTGTAGTTTACGGGAAACCACTCCTCCTGGCCTGTGGGGGGCAGCAGTCAGTCTCCTTTGACAAAGCTGCTCTGATTCCTGAGGCCGACAACAACAACAACAGCAGTGAACACGTGGGCAGAGACCCAGCAGAGCGCTCCACCCCTCGTCCACTTAGTCCCACCAAGCTCCTCCCCTTCCTGTCGGGCACGCTCAGCAGGAGGCCCATTGACGCCGACCTCGACGCCCTGCGCCGCCGACTCCACCATGCACCGCGGCCCTTGAAGAAGCGCAGCTCCATAACTGAGCCCGAGGGCCCGGCAGGGCCCAACATCCAGAAGCTGCTTTATCAGAAGACCACGCTGTCGGCAATGGAGACAAGCCCCCCCGAGGGGGCGTGTCCTCAGGAGCACAAGCCAGGCGGGGAGGGGTCTGCAGCCAAGGTGGACCTCATGGTCTCTGAGACCTCGGAGGAGCCACAGTCCCCGCCCCCTCTGCCCCCTCGCTCACCGTTCGGCCCCGTCAGTCCACCCCACACAAAGGCAGAGGACGAGGTGTGTCCCACCTTTTTTGAGGAGTTCCCTCCGTATCCCCCTCCACCTTACCCCAGCAGCCAGGAAGCAAAACCAGGCGACCACGCACCGGGTTCACAGCTGTCGCAGATGACGGAACAAACACCAGCAGCGACGGTGAGCGTCCAGAGTCCAAGTACTGTTCTGATTTTCAGTGTGAAAATAATGAACATTTTCATTTCCAATGGGACAGGAGTAGCAGATACTTGTACACAAGCCTAGAGTGCCCTCTAGTGGCTGTCAGTGTGAAAATAACAAACGTGAAATTACATTTTTTAATAGGCTGTCAGTGTGAAAATAATAAACGTGTCGTAAACCCAGCCAAAGAATGAAAAAAATGTGAGACTTATAGTCCAGAAAATACGGTGGTGAAAAGTTTGCGAGCTCTTCAGAGATTGGTAGAAAACCAGCTGCTGGTTCAGTTTGCTACAGACGTGAATCCTCAGTTGTCTGTTCTTCCTGTCAGGGTAAGAGGTCAATCCTGCGCAGAGTTGGCTCCGATCGACTCACCCACGGGATGCGGGTCAAGTTTAACCCGCTGGCCCTGCTGCTGGACTCGTCTTTGGAGGGCGAGTACGACCTGGTTCAGAGGGTCATCTATGATGTGAGTCACGTCACGATCTCTGAGGCGTCAGGAGCGTTTGCTGAGTAAATGCTTCAATCTTCTTCTTCTTCTTCTGTGAAAGGTGGACGACCCCAGCATGCCCAACGACGAGGGCATCACGGCGCTGCACAACGCCGTCTGTGCCGGACACACTGAGATCGTTAAGTTCCTGGTTCAGTTTGGTGTGAACGTGAACGCGGCTGACAGTGACGGCTGGTCAGTTCAGATCCGTTCTAAGAACGTGATGGCACCGTGTGGCCGAGTGTCAGCGTCTGATGTCTTGGTCTTCTGTCCTCAGGACTCCTCTTCATTGCGCCGCCTCCTGTAACAATGTTCAGGTCTGTAAGTTCCTGGTAGAGTCGGGCGCCGCCGTGTTCGCCACCACCTACAGCGACATGCAGACGGCTGCTGAGAAATGTGAGGAGATGGAGGAGGACTACATTCAGTGTTCCCAGTTCCTCTACGGTAAGAATCTGAAAAGGAACCGTGGGTTCTACAGATCCCTGTGGTCAGAGCAGGAGTCGGGGGTTCGAAGGTTCTTCTTCAACATACACGGATGTTTTTTCTCCTGTTTGTGGCTGCAGGCGTTCAGGAGAAGATGGGTGTGATGAACCACGGCGTGGTCTACGCCCTGTGGGACTACGAGCCGCAGAGGGACGACGAGCTGGGATTCAGGGTGGGCGACTGCATGACGGTGCTCCGACGGGAGGACGGGGCAGAGACTGAATGGTGGTGGGCCAGATGTGGGGACCACGAGGGCTACATCCCCCGCAACCTGTTGGGGGTGAGTTAAACCTCAGGGTCTGTAAAGAGGTCAGGAGGTCAGGAGGTCAGAAGTTTGACAATAGTTCATTCTAAAGAATTTTAGGGTCAGGGAGTCATTTTTTAAAGGTAAACTCTTTGTGTTTGACCTTTACAGTTGTATCTGAGGATCAAACCACGGCAGAGGAGCCTGGCGTAAAAAAAAAAGAGAGAGAGAGAGAGAGAGAGCCTTGGACTCCACTCAGGATGAAACGGTGAAACTCCAGCACAAAGAATGTCAATTACGTATTAAGTTTAAAATGGTATTTTTTAACTTCTTTAAAGTTTTATTATTTTATGATCATCAACGTTTTCTGCTGCTGCTTTAAGTGTAAAAAATGTTCCTGTTTATTTTTATTTGCAAATCCCTCATTTTTTAAAAAAACAAACTCTTTCTTAAAAAAAATGGGATTTAGAAAAACAATATTTTAAAACGACCTCACTCTGCTACTGAAGCCTGTAGAGAAAATCAGTGATTCTTTTCATCGAAACAGAGCCTTCAGGTACTGGTCTACTTCAGCGTTCATCTGAGACGTCGATCTGAACGAAGATCCTCCAACAAACAAACAAACAAACAAACAAACAGTAACACACCTGTAACAGAGGTCCTGGGATCTAAAATCACTGTTTTTCTCTGTGGACTTTGGTGGAAGGAGTGTGTGCACAAACCATGTAGTCACTGCTGTAAGTAAGAAAAAAAACAAAACTCAAATTCAATTCAATGATATCACAATGTAAACACAGTTGTTTCAACGTTCTGTGGAACATTTGAATCAACGGCCGCGTCGCATTTTGTTGCTTTGATTTAATTAAAAATTCCAAAAGCAGACGTGGGACCTTTTTAAAGTTTATTCAACGTTCACAGGGAAAAGCGACAGCTTGAATACACACACACACACACACCCATACATACACACACTCAGTCTTTCACGTACACACACACACACACAGAGGACCAAAAGTGCATTGTCATCAGAGACTCAGTTTGAACAGGGACTACATTCAGTGTTTGGGTTCGATCACATCACTGTACACAACTCCGGCTGTGGCTCAGCGGCCCAGTAGCATGCACTTCATGTCGGGCTTATGCTACTAATGTTTGAGTGGGCACAAATCACAAGAACCCGTCATCAGGTCTCATGACATCTGGTGGTGCTGGAGGGAGGAATGGAGGCGTTAATGTTCAGGCAGGTTCTGGTTCTGGTCATGGTTCTGGTCGTGGTTCTGGTCGTGGTTCTGGTCGTGGTTCTGGTTCTGGAAAGGCTGCAGCAGGCGGCTGATGTGACCGATGCCTTTGGTGACCCCCTCCCTGAACAAAAGCTTGGCACCAAGTCTCAGGTACTCGGGATGTTTGATGAAACGGAAACGGACCACAGCTCGCTCACCGGTACGGAGCTCCTCCTGCAGGACAGAGATGCACACAGCAGTCTTCATCTGTGTTCTGGTATGAGTGTGAAACATCACAGCCTGGGTCAAAGTAACTGTGTTGTTGGACTTCACACAGCCAAGTATCCCAGAATGCATTTCACAACCAGATGAGAAAATTGTAGTAAATTAGAAATTCTGTTACAAGTAACAACTTTGAGAAGACGAATGCAATTTTGATCATTAGTCTCATTAATGTAGTGGACTCTTCAGTCTCCACTGCTCCACTGGTCACTGGGCGCTCAGCTCTCATCGTACCTGTCCTGCTCTGAGGTCTAACACTGGTTGAACTTTTACTGAAGAACGTCGACGTCTCTGTGACTGACCTTCCCGTGAAGACACTCCACGGTGGCCGTCTGTCTGACGTTACCAACGTGCACCGTGACCTGGGAGCCGCGCCTGAAGGTTTTTGCATGGAAGAGCAGGACGATGGCCGCTTCAAACTGCCAGCAGATGGTGGGGTTCATCTTAGGACTGACCATCACCATGCCCTGCAACGACCAATCAGAAAACAGTGACAAGGACCACATTTTTTTCCCACTGCAACGACCAATCAGAAAACAGTGACAACGACCACATTTTTTTCCCACTTTTCGACTTTTCCAAACTGAATTCTTGAATCTGTGTCCTTCAGCTGCACGAGGACTTGATTGACTTTGGACGTCTGACCTTGCGCAGTAGCGAGCGGTCAAAGTTTCCCAGAGCGAGCGTGGCGGCCTGTCCTGCTCTCAGCACCCTGCAGGCTGAGCGGTTCCTCTGGATGCTGCCCACCTTCAGACGAAGGAAAGAGCCCTGATCTGTGGGACCCACCACCAGACGCTCGCCCTCCCGACACACCCCGCTGTACTCACACACACACACAGAAGAACACACACACACTCATAACAGTGTCATCTCTCTGTAATTAGATCAGTTAAAGACAAAAACATTGCAAAGAAGCTACAGATGCTACAATTAGCCTAAAATGAAGCAGAAATTTGAGAGACTCAACGACAGCGTCCGTAAACACGTGACTGTAGTAAAGATTCAGAGTAACAAACAGAACTCTGAAGTATTTTCCACTTGTGCTGGTGTGGTCTCACCTGTACAGAGTTCCTCCGACCACAGTCCCCACGTCTGGAACTGAGTAGATCTCATCCACCTACAAACACACACACACACACACACACACACACACACATATATATATATATATATATATACTGTATTGACACACAAATGGTACAACTTGTTGGTTTTGTTATAGCTTTACACATGAAAGTATTGTGGAGACTATCATCACTTCCCCTCTGTGTGAGAAGATATTTTGACCTTTTTTTTGTTGAATTAAGATGAGATTAGGGTTAGGCTTACTCTTGTAATAGTGAGGTGTGTGTGTGTGGTTCTGTGTGTGTGTGTGTGTGTGTGTGTGTGTCTCCTTTCACCTGGAACTCCGTGAGCTGCTGCATCAGCTCCTCCTGTTCTTTGCTGTTGCTCAGTGGAGGCAAAATATTTAAGAAAACCTTCAACAGGTCCAGACTCTCACCAGAGACGGAGGACAGGGTGAAGATGGGTGTGATGCTGCACACACACACACACACACACACACACAGGTATTGTTGTCAGTACTGGTAATCATCATCACTTGTACTGTACTCAGTCGCACACACACACAGGTATTGTTGTCAGTATTGGTAATCATCATCACTTGTACTGTATTCATCCGTGATGACCGTGATGACCAGACTGACCAGGTGGACTGTGTGAACTGCTGCGCTGCAGTCACTGCGTCGTCAGGGTTGGTGACCAGCAGGGGGACCTTGTTGCAGCCTGGTTGTTTCAGGACCCGCTCCAGCTGCCGAACAGTTCGCTCTACAGTCCCACGAGAGCAAACGTCCACTTTACTGACCACCACGAAGATGGGGACTTTCAGCGCCATGGCCAGGCCCAGGTGCTCCCTCGTAGTTCCAGCTGAAGCCAGTGAGAACAGTCAGTTCAGATCAGTGGTTTACAGTGGAAACACGTTTCACGCTCCTAGTTTACAGAGTTGTTGTGTGTTTAGTTTATCTTTATTTATTAAACTGTACATTTGACTCCCACGGCTCTCAGTGTTATGTCACTGGGTCACATGCGTGGGCTGCAGCTCACCGATGCCCGTGTTGGCGCTCACCACCAGCATGGCAAAGTCAGGGCAGTAGCTGGTTAGACCAAAGATGGTGGTCTTCAGGTACTTTTGGTGTCCGGCCAGGTCGATGAACGTGATCATCTTAGAGGAACTCTCACAGATCTCCTCCGCCGTCCGTGACTCGCTGTAGTTGACCACCTGCATGACACGTGACCACAGCCGCGGTCGTTGAATTGACAAGATAGCCAAAGATATAGGTAAAAAAACCAACCTGGTGTTTACATAAGTAGCAGAATCATACACATAACAGCTGACGTTGTGTAAATCAGTGCAGAACTGGTTAGAAAACGAACCATAACAGAGTTAATCACCTCTCCTTTACTGTTGAAGCCCAGGATCTCGAAGCTGATGCTGGACGTCCGTCCACTCTGGATCTCATGCAGGTGTCTGAAGAGGTTGAGCCGGGCTCGGCCTCTGCCGTTGTCCAGCTCCCCTTGGGTCAGGACTCCCAGCAGCGTGGACTTCCCCGAGTCGACATTACCCAGCACAGCCACACGGAGGTCCAGGAACTATTCACACACAGAAAAAAAAGATCTCACAGTTAAAATGTGGAAAAAAACTCCACGGACTCTCTCAAGACACAATCTCACCTGCTGGTCATCGGGAACTTTGCGAACTAGGACTTCTGCGATTTTCCGACTATTTCTGTCCAGATCGTAGTCCACCTCCCGCTCCCGGAGGAGAGTGATGTCAGCCCCAACTCTGCAGAAACACAAAAATCCAGAGCTGGTTTTTTATAGAACTTGTTGCTAAAACAAAGGTGGTGGCAATTTAAGGTTTAGGCAGAATTTGTGACAGAAGAGTTGCAACACAATTAAAAGGAATGTGTTTTAAGTCAGTAGTGAGACCTGCTGTGATCCCCAGACCACAGCTGAGCTGGAAATGGCAGATATGAAGATGGGCAGTTTGGAGATAGAGCTAGAGAAACCAGAGGAGACGTATGGATGAACTCCCGTGTGAGTTTGTATCTAAACCTGGGTTCAAGTCATCAGTTTTTAAATGAATCTCTCGGCTGTTGTGACCTACTTCTCAGCCATCCTCTTCAGTGTGTGGAGTGACGCCTTCATGTCAGCGTCGCTCAGACCCACCAGCAGACCATTGTCTTCAACACCAATCTGATACACGGCCTCGCCGCGGCCCTCCTGCAGGCGCCACTTCAGCTGCGTGGCCAGATGTTCAAACCGGTACTGGGTGGGGTTAACCAGCTTCAGCTTAAAAAGAAAAAAAATTTATTACTTTATTTTGTAAACCCACGATCTCCCAAACCAAAGTTTATGGAGAAAAACAGTGGTTTTACAACAGAGACAGAATAACTGCTGCCCCTTGTGGTCAGTTGTATCACACTAGGATTAGTGAGGACTTTAAACCCTTGGCTCTAAAATACCACGTTTAATCGTGTAGGATATGGTGGTGGATCAACACTATATGATTATATAATAAAAACCTGACCTGATTTTACACTGGTTTTTAAAGGCCAAACTAAAGTTGACAAAAAAATAACCTGATGTAAATTTAAACTAAATTGTTTCATACAGATTGTGTGACTTACTTTATACTCAATGTTTCCTTCTTCAGCCTATAGAGAAAGAGAAGAGAGATGAGGTCAGTTCAGAACACGTGTGTCTCCAGTGTGTGGACAGCTGCAGTCTCACAAAGACTGCTATTTTTGAAATGTATATTTTTCTTACTTTTCACGTTTGTTGATGTAAATAACCTTTCTCAGAACATTTAACAATGTTTCATCAATTAATTCAGGAAAATGTTTATAATGTAAAAAAATAAAAACCCTAGAAACATAAGATCGATACTGACATCAAAATAATGATCACTAAAGTTATTGACAATGACTTGCATCAATATAATCAAGATGCATGTTTAAATTATATATGTATATTTGTAATGTAATGTATATATGTAAAACTAGCCTAAGCACGAGCCCAACTTAAACACTAAACGATCCAAAACACAAAAGTATATGATGTAAAGTACATTGTAATTAGCCTGCAGTTGCTAACAGAGCAGTTTAGCTGTAGCGTCGCCACTGCACTGAAACATGTTCTACCTCCGGTGGTAAATATGGTGGCGGTGTTTTGTTGCTCTTGTTATTCTTCTTGTGACGTCTTTTCTTGCCGCGTTTGCCTCTTCTCGATCTGGACTTTTTCACGGCTTTCCTGCCGTTGTTCCCGGTGCAGGTGCCCGAGCCATAACCGGGGCCCGAGCCCGGGCCAGTTCTGGCGACTGCGGGCGACACTGGGTCAACCATGGGTAAATTTAGGACGTCAGAAGCAGCAGTGTGACGTCATGGTGATTAGAGAAGATGGAAAGCGATGACATCACAGCTGCCGCAGATGACGGCCTGTGTGGAGGATGCTCCTCTCCTCAGCACCGCTGTCAAAACTAGCTTCCGGATAGGAATTTCACAATAAAACAGTAGCACTAACGATGGTGATCGTATGCCGCAGCATGAACAGGAAACAGGAGTGCTTCAAAGTAAAAGCACAGAAATAAATGTGTTCAGAATTTACACTGCAAAAAATGAAAGAAAGTTAAATAGCCTTGCATCAAAACAATGTTTTATTTTGTATAAGACATTTATGGTCAAACGTGTGTTGAATTAAAAAATGTATCTTACATGATATCTTACAGTAACATTAAATTAAATGAAGCAGAAACATAAGTTAACAATATTGTGCTTAATACCTGTACCTGCCAGATCACCTTTGCCTTCTGAGTTATTTTATAACTCCTTTTTTATAATGTTGCTGCCGGTGTTCCTGATAAAACGACTCACTCTCTCTTCTCTACAGGCTCACTCTTGAGATTGGAACAAATCACAACAAAAGGAGAAAAACATGGAATATTTAAATAAGGTTTATTCACTTAAATGTGACGTTGACCATGTCTGCATTGTTTAACCCACTGAGCTGCAGTGCAGTGTTATAAATGGAGAAACAAGCAGATTTCTATTAACCCATTCGAACCAATGTACTCAAATACATAAAACATGTATTTGCAGCATTTTTAATCATATATTGTAACTATCATTGCCATTCAAGGAGCAATTTGGGATGAAATGACTTGGCCGGAGATACAGCTCTATAGAAGTCTACTGCTTGAGATTGAATGTCCCCAATTATTAGTGGGGCAGAGTTTTTACCATCTTCACTAACACACGGGCTGAAGAATGGGTGGAGTTTTTCAGTAAAGGAGCAATCAGTAAAGGAGTAGATCAGAGCCACAGCATCTACGTCATAAAAAGAAACTAGACCCTTGTCATAATCCACAAACACCCCGACCTTCTCAGGAGCAGAGGTCAGACAGAGCCGGGCGGAGGGTTTAGAAAGTGCAAAGTACTCATTTCCATTTATCAATATAATCGTCCAGTAACCATCCTGAGGTCTCATTGAGATGTTTCCCTTCCTGTTGATGGACTCCCTGGCCACTCCTAAATCCCAGGCCGATTTTCCTTTCACCTGAACTTCATAGTAGAATCTGCCTGATGAAAAACTTTGCTTTCCCATGACACTGACACAGGGGTTAAATCTCTTTGTGTTGTCGGGAAGATGCTTCTTCTCATCACCGCAGTACACCTGTTTCTTATCTTCAGACAGGATTAGAGCAGGATGTGCTGTGTCGGGATCAAAAGTGACGTCCACTGCAAATTGCTGCAGCTTTTTTATCTCCACTTCCTTCAGCTTCTTTTTTGCCTGCTCACAAAATGTCTCCTCTAGCTGAGCAACTGCTTTGACCACAGTCCCCTCATACGTCGGTGAGCAGACGTTGACCTGTGTCTGGTCCTGTGTGGGTGGGGAATCATTCAGGAGAGAGAAGCTCTGATGAAGGTGGGGATGGAGGCAGTCTTCGGGGAGAGAGAGCTTCTCCTCCTCTGAGCTCCTGTTCATTAGCTCCGAGATTTCCTCCCCTAGCTCTGTAATCACATATTCAGCCTTTCCTTCTACTGCCTTCTGTTTGTCCTCAATCTCACGGAGGAGCCGCGTCAGGCCTCTGTTCACATACTCCTTCAGAGCTGAGAAGACCTGAACACCTTTTTCTTTCTCTGTGTCTGCTTCAAGTTTACTCTTTTTCACTGAGTGCTTAATCTCCTCAATCTTCACTTGTCTTTCCTTGATCATCTGCTGAACTATGGCATCTGACCTCAGCTTCTCCTCTCGCCTAAAGAGATAAACCACCTCCGATATCAAAGAGTTGATCTCCATTTGAGGCCTTGTGTTGAAAACCTCTTTACACATGGGACAATTGACCTGGATGTGGATACTCGTGGTCCAGTGACTCACAATACAGTTTTTGCAGAAGTTGTGTCCACATGGTGTAGACACCAGGTCAGTGAACGCAGTCAAACAGATGGCACAAAGGACAGGGTCTTCAGGTTTCATGTTTGTACTACCAGCAGCCATTTCTACACAATAGAAAAAAGTTTAGACTTATGTTAGCAATCTCTCTTGAAATGAAAAAAATAGAAAATTCAAAAAAATCTTTTCTCAAACCACATTGTCTCCCCCCCACTGTTAGCAATCTCTCTTGAAATGAAAAATTGATGATAATGACTGCAATTTTCACTGAGTTTAGTCTAATAAGCCTAAAGTATTTTTTGCAAAATGTTTTTCTTTGCATTCCTTATGCCAAAACATCTGGTACATTCCACCTACCTTAATGTAAGCAATATCTTTTTACTCATTCTGTAAATCTGAAAGCACCTGATGGAATTATAGAAATTTAGCTACTCTTATACAGAGTTAGATTATTATTATTATAATTTTCTTTTTAGTGAATGACTTCCACATTCAGCCAAATCCTTTCTCCCCTTCTTTTCAAAGGTAAATAGATGACAAGCTAAAGATCCTTTGATCATTTCGATTGTTACTTTCCCTCATCTTTTGACTCTGAACTAACAGCTAATTATCTTGATTTAGTTAGGTTGGTGTTGTTCAACTAAGTTGTTTTGTAATCAGAATAACACAACAAGCAAGACACACAACTCTTTCGGAATAATTAAAAAATATATAAACAATTAGGTATTTTTTATTTATTTGAAAAGTAACGTTAAAGAAAGCATTTTTCTGATAAAAATGACATTGGTTGTCCCGGGTAGGCACTGTAACATTTAAAGAATATTACAGTCAACAGCTAAGGTTTGCCGATATTATGTCGTATTTTTAATTACAGTTTTTTTTAAATAAAATTACTTTTCAACTGGATTAGAAGAGAGCTTCTTTATTTTGAACTACCACATTTTATTTTTATTTATACACCGTTTCATTTTCTTTTTAGTCAGGCAACATGCTGCTACCTACAGCTGTCACACGGCGGGGTCTTCTCGGGTCCTTTTGCACTGAATGTCGCTCCTCCAGTTCCCTGCTGCAAACTTGCTAACCGCATAAAACCAGAATATTTACCGTAATTTTATCAGACACCAAGCGGGTCCCGGAGTGATGATGGGTGGGAGGACGAGCGCGATCGCTGCCGGAGTTTGTGGGGCGCTGTTTGTCGGCTACTGCATTTATTTCGACAGGAAAAGACGGAGTGACCCCAACTTCAAGAACAGGCTACGGGAGCGTAAGTGTTGACCTCCTCATTCTCATCCGTCTTCCTCAGAACCAGGCTCCTAGATAATTCAGACATATCCAGTCGTGATGTGTCGGATTTTGTTTTTCATATGTACATAGTAAAAACCCACCGGAGCTTCAGTTTACACTGTCATGACTTCTTGGTAACGCTTGCACGTCACACTCCCTGTGGTTAACCCATATTTAGGTTATTGTTAACTAAAGCAGCCGATAATTAGGTTCATTTTAATACGTAACACACCACAAAGTCTTTACCTTAAGCCAGCTCCATTCTTCACCAATGGTGTATGGTTATAGAAATGAGGCCAAAGAGATGGATTAGATATCCGTCCTTGTTTAATTCCCAGAAGTACTTTTTCATTTTCCTTTGACTTTAACAATCGATGTTGTTATTCCCAACACAGTTCTACTTTCTCAGAATTCTGTGAAATTAAGTCAGAATTTTGAGAATAAAAACGGATTGTGTATGTGCAATAATTACTGCAAATTATTAATACACAGTTTCCTCTATTGGTTAATTTGTATATTAAATCTCTAAACCTAAAAGTTAAACTTAAAAGGAAGAAACAAGCAGGGCTAGATTTTAGTAGTAGTCATGTGTTTTTGTTTTTTTTTACAAGTTGATTTGACATGGACTTGTTCTGTGTTGGTATCACAGGGCGAAGAAAACAGAAAGTGGCGAAGGATAGGGCAGGTCTGGCAAAGGTAAGAGCAAACTGTTTGGATCACTGTTATTGTTATCTCTTTTGTCTCATCCCTGCTCCGTCCCTTAGCTTCCTGACCTTAAAGATGCTGAAGCAGTGCAGAAGTTCTTTTTGGAGGAGATCCAGCTGGGGGAGGAGCTGCTGGCTCAGGGTAACACCTTTATGTGGCAAACATCCACGGTTAGGCAGTATCTCTGTGAGGGTATTCCATATTTGAGACCACATTTTCCTCTTGTTACAGGAGATTATGAGAAAGGCGTGGATCACCTGACTAATGCCATCGCAGTCTGTGGTCAACCTCAGCAGCTGCTGCAGGTGCTGCAGCAAACGCTGCCTCCACCCGTCTTCCAGATGCTGCTCACCAAACTGCCCAGCATTAGCCAGGTAGGTTTCACAGGTGTTCACCTACATGTCTGATCTAGTCTGATCACTCAGACTGATCTAGTCTGATGTCTGATGGTGAAGAATCAGCCAGGAACGCCGACTCCATCTGACTGGTCTAATTATTTTCTGACAAATTCTGTTTTCTATTTTTGTTTATTTGCAGCGTATCGTTAGTGCACAGAGTCTGACTGAGGACGATATAGAATAAGATGAGAGCCAAGACGAAACCACTCCCACTAGCCTGCCGCCCAACTCCTCCTCTTCCTCATCTTTACTTGGATCTTCTCTCTCCACCAAGACCCCGGCCTCTAAAGGGTCTGTCCCTCACATCCTAAAGAAGGGGTCCAGAAGGACAATAGTTTTTTTTTAATTACAGCTTGTTTAAATTTTTTACCTACCAGTTCTGGCGTTACAGCGCCTCCATCAGGAAGTTGGAGAAATGTGGTAGGATCCCGACTATATGTCAAAAGGAACTTGACTGGGTTTTTTATGTGAACCAAATTCAGCATCTGCACCAGTTTACATCACAGTTGTTCTTTGTAACTCACCTCAGTATTTATTGTTACTCTTGTCTTTCTGTTGTGAACATGTTTTGGTCATTTAAAAAGAGGAAGAAGAAAAAATAAAGTAGAAAAACAGAAAACTTGCCACTAATTTTCTTTTTTTAGTATTACATCAACAATCAGATGAAAGGTTTGTGTTGCTCTAATGTCACCCTTTAGTTTGGCTAAAATTCAATATACTTCTGCATGTAAATTTTTTTTTTCTAGTCAGTTTTAGCTATAACTGGGACAACAAGACAGAAACTCTGCCAATAAAAACCACGATAAAAGAAACAAACAACATTAAGTCACAATATTTTTACTGAAAAAAAAATGAAAGGAATAAAGAGTTTTTTTCAGTTTAACCTCAAAACAAAATTCAAATATTTCACCCCTGCCTTCACTCGTTACCCTGTGGAGAACTGACGTACTGAATCGTTCACTGAGTAACGAGTGTCTTTTTGTCCTGTTAGGAGTCAGCTTTGACTCGTCTGACGTGACGTGGTTTCTTCTTCTTCAGTCCTTTCTTTTTATCCATCTTCTTCCTTGGATCAGCTGTTTCTCCTCTAAAGGAGCTTGATTCTTTTTTGGCAGGTCTCTGTCGGCCTCCACTGAAGGAACCGCGTCCAGGCCCGGTGCCCCGCCCTCCTGCTGTCTTAAGACCAGTGTGTTTGGCTGGAGATCTGCCAGGCGTTCTTGTGGTTCCCTTGCTATTTTCTGTTTTCTTCTGCTTGTCTGTCTTCATCGACCTCTTCACACGGATTGACCGACCTTCCAGCTTTGAACCGTCCAATTCCAACGCCAGCTGAACAGAGTCAGCACTCTGCAAAAATACATCAAAACCAAATGTATAGATACTCATGGTAGAGTTAGCTTAGAGTTAGCTACCACCACTGTATTTTCCCTGATTCATTCTTTTGTTCATCACTGTCAGGTTGAGGGCTACACTTGTATAATTACAATTACTGAAGAAAAAAGGCACATGTGAGTCAGAGTACCTCGAACAGGATGTAGCCAAATCCCTTCCCCAGCCCAGAATTGGGGTCTCGAATCAGTCTCACTGCCTCCACTGACCCGCACTCCTCAAAATGTCGCCGAAACACCAGCTCGTTTATCTCTGAACCAAAACAAAACCAACGGCCATCGTTACCAGGACTGAGTGTTTGATTGTGGCGGTCTAGTTTGAAACCTAAAGACGTCAACTGACACTCACCGAAAGACAAGTTCCCCACGAAGACGGAGCGTTTGTGGTCGTGCTGTGAGGTGACAAGGAGGAAGGAGACAGTTTTCTTTTACTGGTTCAGGTCAGTGACTCACAGAGTGATGTAAGAAACAGGTCAACATTGATGGATGAATATAACTATTAAATTATATGTAATGGAAAATGTTCAATTAAATACAGTATAATATGATATGATGGATCAATCTTACTGATGAACTGTCAGTCACTCGGTCGACTCTGATGTAAAAATCTTTCTGGATCTCCACGCCGTTCCTGCAGGAACACACAACTCATTTATTTTCACATTATTTTAGCATAAATCTGGGTTGACTGGGATGGTCGAACCTTTCCAAAGCTCCGGTCACTCCTTCCTCATCTTTGAAAACCATGTAGGCGTTGAGGCTTTGTTTCTTTGGATGAATCTGACGTCTGGCAAAGACAAAGTTGTTAAAAGAACTGTTTTCTT